CCAATCTAGTATGCTTGAACGACGGAAAGGTTACCCGAATGGCAACACGACAAGGGGATTCTGACAGCGTAATTGACCTGGCCCTAGTGTCTCCCTCCATTGCACCAGGATGCAGGTGGAGCACACTGGGATACCACGACAGTGATCACTTTCCTTGCGTCGTCCTGGTAGAGAAGAGCAACAACAAAGGTCATGTAATCAATGTGCCTGCTTTTATATATGACCGTACAGGGCAAGATGCCATTAGCAAAATCCGACGACGTAAAACAAGAGCAGATCGCAGACGGCGGGAGAGATGGGCCCAGCCACCATGGTGGAATGAAGTAGTCAACATGGCGTGGCTAGAAAAAAGGAAAGCTGTCAAGGCATGGCAAAGGCAAGGAAAATTGATCCGTCACTTTCTGAACGCCTGATCAGTCTGAAAGATGAGGTCAACAAGCAGACAGTGGCTTTCAAGTTAATTGCGAAGAAAGCTAAGACAGCGAAATGGAACGAATTCTGCAAGAGCGTTTGCTCTCGAGGGATCTCTTGTGACATTCTGGCGCCTTCAACGGAGCATGCACGGCGCCGCACGACCAAGGGGTATCCCTGATTTTCAGGGTACAGACCTGATATGGCAGAGAACTGATGCTGATAAAGGAAAAACCCTTCTGGCGCGCTACTTGGAGCAAACTGACCAAAAAGACGAAGCTACAAGAATAGGGGTTAAGATGAAACTGTCGATGCTGTGCGAGAACACTGTGCTAGGCACTGATCTCACAATCACTGCAGATACCTTAAGAACTTGCCTCAAGAAATCGCGCAGCACTGCTCCAGGCCCTGACGGCATCCGATACAACGACATGCTGATGATGTCGAATGCTGATTTGAAAAGCGTGGCAAAGGAATTCAATATCAGCATCCAGAGTGGCCAGATACAAGAGGAATGGCTCCATAGTTATTTGTTCCCACTACCAAAGCCTAATAAAGACCACTCGAAGATCTGCGGCTACAGAATCATCTCGATGCAGAATACTGTTGGCAAACTTTTGGAAAAAAAAGTTGTCGCACAAAGATTGACCACCCTACTTGGAACTACATGATAAGTTCCCACCAACACTTGGAGGGTACAGGTTAAATAAAGAGAAATGGTTCAATGCTGCAGTTTTCGCCTACGATGTGTACGAGGGATTTCAGATTAAAGAAGAGACATGTGCGGCAGTGTTGGACTTAGAAGATGCCTACAATAAAGTACCATACGATTATTTAATGCAATTACTGCTTAAACTAGAAGTTAAAGAAACACTCACTGCATCAAGCGCTTTTTAGTGAAAATGGCGACAGACTGAAGAGGGGGAAATCGTGGCTAGGTCGGGCAGAAGATGTTATTAGGCAAATATGCAGCCTAACCGACATCATACCTGGTGCAGAATGGATACCTGTGCCTCAGGCGTTTATTTGTACATTTTCCTGTATTGTCACACTCAACAGGCGATGTAGAGAAGAGAATCCTGTTGCTGTTAATGCAGAGGTCAACGCTCTCATCGGTGAAAATTCAGACGAAGCAGATGCAATAATCTATACAGACGGATCCGTTATAAGCCAAAGAAGAAGCGCATGGGCATTTACAGCACGCTCAGCGGCAGAACAGTCAAAGAAGCCAACGGCGCCTTCTCCATGACAACCAGCAGCATGACGATTGGAGGTGATGGCAGTGACACAAGCGCTTGCCTGGCTTGAAACACAAAAATACACCCCGCGTGTGTATGCTCAGTGATTCAATGAGTATGATCCGGAGGGTTCAGGCAGGTTCAGTGCGAAGACAATGCTTGAATCATTACAGAAGTCCACTGTCCGTGAGTCACCTTTATTTTTGTTCCGGGACACGCAGGCGTCGATGGAAATGAAAGAGCTGACAGGTTGGCTGGATCCGCTATCACTACCGACGGTCAGCCTATGGATCATGCTGATATTATCAATGCCCTCAGAGAAATGGGAAGGATAGACGACTTTGGTGGCAGTGAATCCACATCACTCGCCAGAATGGCAGACTTGGGAATTAAGATCGGCACAGCAAAAAACGAGACGCACACCAGTTACGCCAGAAGACTTGTTAATCAACATAGAACTGGTACTATTAGCCATCGGACGTTGGGGTTCATACTGAGGGGAGGATCTGAGCACCTATGGACATGTCCGGAGTGCAATGAGGATAACCCAACTAACTAACTAACTAACTAACTAAGAGAGACTTTCAGGGGCACAAGACATTTTGACAGATAGTGGCAAGGTTGCAGCAGTTATTAAAAGCATGAACAAAATAGGACACTCAACATTGTACCGTTTTAAAGGCAACAGATGGAAGTTGTTGTAAGTAAGTTAAATGTTGAATAGCTCAAGATAAGGCAACAGATGGAAGTTGTTGTAAGTAGGTTAAATGTTGAATAGCTCAAGATAAGGCAACAGATGGAAGTTGTTGTAAGTAAGTTAAATGTTGAATAGCTCAAGATAAGGCAACAGATGGAAGTTGTTGTAAGTAGGTTAAATGTTGAATAGCTGAAGCTAAGGCAACATTTTACAAAATGAATACTTTATGCAATTTTCTTTTTCAATTGAGAGGAGACGGAGAACTCTTAAAAGCTATATAAATCCTATATTGATATACAGAAGTGAATCATGGACAGTTGGTAAATTAGTGAAAACTTATCTGGGAGATGTGGTTTTATAGATGAATGATGGGCGTGCACAGGACAGGTAAAAAGATTAATGAAGATGTCTTGAATGAAATAAACTCACAAAGAGAACTGATTGCCAACACCAGAAAGAGGCAATCTACATTCTTTGGTCATGTGATGAGAAGGGGAAAACTGGAGTACATGGTGACAGTAGGAAAGTTGGGGCAGAGGGAGACCGAGAGAACAGATACTGGACAGTTTGACATCATGGCATGGAGGATTGTCTGTGTCAAGAGTTGATTGAAAGTACACCAGACAGAAGGTTGTGGATAGACATGACTACCAGTGCCACACGCCAGGGACTTTAAGAAGAAAGGCAAGCTGGATATTTTTAATCCGTATGTTACTTCAGTTTATAACACATTTAAGGGACCGAGAACCAAAGACATGGAACAACGTTTAAATGCATTTGAAAACAAATGCCTGGACAAACAATTAAATCCCGTGGGATGAAGCCTTCTTCTTCTCTTCTTCTTCACTTCCTCTTTTACTGCTGTGGGTGTCGTGGGAGATATAAGGTTCTGTTTCTAGCTCTTCTGGCCACCTCGATCATAGGCACATCGTGCTGTTGGAGAGTTTCTCTGATGTTATCCTTCCATCTTGTTCTTGGTCTACCTCGTGCTCTACGTCCTTCTTCTCTTTCCATGTATGCTTTGTATGGTATGGTGTCACAAGGCATTCTCTCTAAGTGGGCAAACCATTTCACTTGCTGTCTTTGTATGTAATCCAGAATTGGTTCTGTGCCGACTTGTTCTCTTATGATCTCATTCCTGATCTTATCTCTTATGGTCACGCCTACAGCCCTTCTCAGACATCTCATTTCCGTGGTTACTAATTTTCTTTTATGGTTTGTTGTGAGTGACCATGTCTGGCACTGGTAGCACAGAGTTGGAATAAATATGCTTTGAATAAGATGTCTCTCTGTGCTGATTGGGATTGTCTTATGCTGTAAGAGGGGGGCTAGCTGTCCCAATACTTGGTTTGCTTTACTGCATTTAATGTCAATTTCTTTATCCAATTTCCCATCTTCGGTAAATGTAGTTCCCAGATATTTAAACTCAGATGCCTGTTTAAAAAAAGCGAAGAAATAAGAGAAATGTCTGGGGCAACCACATGTATCAACGGTCGCAAAGTTGTAATAGGGGGAAAAGGGGGGGGGTGAAACCTTGAGGTAGCTGCAAGGCGATGGCAGGTGGCAGAGAAAGGCAGTTAAAGTTGTGTTCCGGCGTGACGCATCAGCCACCAAGTGCCGACTGGTCTGTAAAATAGAGGTCTAGCCCTATATGCCCAATAAGCCTGAAGGCATTGAAAAGAGTCATTTACTTAACTTGTCATCATCAATCAGCAAGTCCTTTACGGAACGTCGCTCTCTTCACGGCACGCCTGAAAGTATCCCTTTCCCTAGCCGGCTCTCCAGCCCTATGTGCTTTCAATGCCAATACTTCTTCAATGTCTTGTAATTATTATCACAGAGTTTGACCCCTGCCTCCTTTCCACAAACTGCACACTCCATCACCGTCTTTTCCAAACCACCATGACTTTCGATGTGGCCAAAATACTTCCAACTTTCGGGACAGGACACTGTTTATGAGCCAGTTTTCCTGTATGTTTAACTCGTGTGAAATGTTGATGTTTTTCCTCTTCTTGGTCCCTGCTATTCTGAGAATGTTTCTGTAAAATTTCAATTCAAAAGCTCGAATCATTTTCTTCAGTGACTGAGTGAGAGTCCAGGACTCTCCACATACAAATGCTCAACTTCTACTTACTTGTAAAACTGTATTAGAGTGATTTCTGCAAATCCAATACGCAAATAAAACAAGAGACTAAACAAGATAGTGTATCCCATTTTTATAAGAAAGCGCTGCTGGAACTAGATCAGCCATACGCTCAGAATAGATAAGACCAGACTCCCTCCCTCATCCAGCCCTCATATGGACACCAGAAGGGAATAGAAAACGGGGAATACCATGGGAGGCCTTGCTTAGAACCATCATCAGGGAAGGCTCAACCATGGGCCTGATGAACATCCAAGACCTAAAACAGGTGGCAACCAACCGCCAGACACGGAGAGCTATGACCTCTGCCCTATGTGCCGCCCTAGGCTCAAGAGGAAAGACGAACAAACTACATAACTAACTAAATAATTTTTCCAGTGGTAGAAACAGTTTTAAAAAAAAATCATGCATGAAAAAGCCAATTCAAGTATAAAGAGTCGCTGGGTACACGAAGAGTTGCAGGCATTGTAGAACATACGTGGCCCAGAGGCTGGAGGGGGAGCAGACCAGTCTAATAGTAGGTCTCTCGCTCGACAAATCCTTGGGGGTGCATCCGTAAAATGTAGCGCCGCATCTCGTCTGCCATCCAGAGAAACGCACAGTACAGCATTGGGTATAGCCAGTAAATGGGCCTGTGGAAAAACGGCAGTAACGTGAAAGGATAACGCTCACACACACGCGCGCGCGCACATACACACACACACACACACGCACGCCAGCTCACGCACGCTCACACTGACACGCACGCTCACAACACACTCACGCTCACACACTCGCTCTCACGCTCACAACACATGCACGCTCACGCTCACAACCCACGCACGCTCACAACACACTCACGCTCACACACTCGCTCTCACGCTCACAACACATGCACGCTCACAACCCACGCACGTTCACAACGCAAGCACGCTCACAACAAACACACTCACACACACGTACGCTCATAACACACGCACTCTCACGCTTATAACGCACGCACGCTCACGCTCACAACACACACACTCGCACTCACGCTCACAACACGCTCACAACACACGCACGCTCACAACACACGTACGCTCATAACACACGCACTCTCACGCTTATAACGCACGCACGCTCACGCTCACAACACACACACTCGCACTCACGCTCACAACACGCTCACAACACACGCACGCTCACAACACACGCACGCTCACAACACACGCACGCTCACAACACACGCACGCTCACGCTCAGAACACACGCACGCTCTCGCTCACAACACACGCACGCTCACGCTTACACACACATGCTCACGTGCGCTCACACACACACACACACACGCGCATGCATGCTCACACGCATGCCGACACGCAGGCATGCTTACACACACACACATACACACAAGGAAAAAACTGGACGTTTCACCTGAGCTACCAGGTATCAATAGTCAGCCTACCTTCAACTAAACAACATTAGTAGTCTTTCTTGTGTATTATTTTATTTTATCGTTTATTTGTATTATAATAAATAGTATTTTTGTTCTTACTACTATTACCAATGGGCCGTTGATCTTATTGTTACTAATATTTCCACTACCACTGTAGTCATTACTTCGCTTTTATTGTTACTATTATTATTATTATTATTATTATTCTTATTACTATTCCCGCTTTTTCATTCATTTGATTTGTTTCGCGTCATCTTTTCCTCTTACTATATTTTATAACTATTCACGTGACTCCAGCAGATGGGTTTGATCGACAGGCGCAGTTATCGCACCCTAGCGAACAGCCGCAACATTATAAAGTCAACCGCACATTAAACGGCGCATAGGGAAGAAAAAGAAGAACAACGATAACAAAAATAAGAAGATGATGATGGTAAAAGGTGGTTTGAGAAATAACACGAAGGCAGATGATATTTTTGGGCTTGTTTTACGGGAAGGCGAAGCGATAAATACCTTATCAGTTTGGGCACCTGGATGGAGGTCAGACAAGAGCACTGACCTGATCCATCATTCTGGTCATCGTATGGGATAGCGATACATGGCCTAGTCATCGACAGGACACATGATGTTTATTACGAGTTACTTCACGTTACTTTGTTTCCGTTGTGTTTTGTTTTTCGTTGTTGTCTAACCAATGAAGGTATGTCTCCGCAACGTCCGTTGTTGGTTTTTCGTAACTGTATTCTGTAAAGCTGACATATTTTATTTTAATGCTCTGTTTTATTTTGTTACACATCTTGAGTTTTATGACCTGACACAACATCACTCGTGACATTCCCATAAGCGCTACGTCCTCGTGTTCAGCAGCCAGCAAAGAGTTCAAATTCCAGAGATGCTAGTAGCAGTTTGATTGTACGTCCTCAGTGCCTCTCCACTGAGTGTAGAATGTCGACCAGATGCCCTAGTTCACTCCCTGAGTGTAGAGTGTCGACCAGATGCCCTTGTTCACTCCCTGAGTGTAGAGTGTCGACCAGATGCCCTTGTTCACTCCCTGAGTGTAGAGTGTCGACCAGATGCCCCTTGTTCACTCCCTGAGTGTAGAGTGTCGACCAGATGCCCTTGTTCACTCCCTGAGTGTAGAGTGTCGACCAGATGCCCTAGTTCACTCCCTGAGTGTAGAATGTCGACCAGATGCCCTAGTTCACTCCCTGAGTGTAGAGTGTCGACCAGATGCCCTAGTTCACTCCCTGAGTGTAGAGTGTCGATCAGATGCCCTTGGTCACTCCCTGAGTGTAGAGTGTCGACCAGATCCCATTGTTCACTCCCTGAGTGTAGAATGTCGACCAGATCCCATTGTTCACTCCCTGAGTGTAGAATGTCGACCAGATGCCCTTGTTCACTCCCTGAGTGTAGAGTGTCGACCAGATGCCCTTGTTCACTCCCTGAGTGTAGAGTGTCGACCAGATGCCCTTGGTCACTCCCTGAGTGTAGAGTGTCGACCAGATCCCCTTGTTCACTCCCTGAGTGTAGAGTGTCGATCAGATTTCCTTGTTCACTCCCTGAGTGTAGAATGTCGACCAGATTTCCTTGTTCACTCCCTGAGTGTAGAGTGTCGATCAGATCCCCTTGTTCACTCCCTGGGTGTAGAATGTCGACCAGATTTCCTTGTTCACTCCCTGGGTGTAGAGTGTCGACCAGATCCCCTTGTTCACTCCCTGAGTGTAGAATGTCGACCAGATGCCCTTGGTCACTCCCTGAGTGTAGAGTGTCGACCAGATCCCCTTGTTCACTCCTAGCTGTACTACTCCGAACCATATTGATCTACTCGTTGCTGCACATTATTCCCTTGCTGTCTTGAAATAAACTGACTCACAAAGAGAACTGATTGTCCGTATCAGAAAGAGACAATGTACATTCTTTGGTCACGTTATGAGAAGGAGATAAATGGAGTACATCATGACAGTAGGAAAGTTGGAGGGGAGGAGAGGCAGAGGGAGACCGAGAGAACAGATGCTGGACAGTTTGACATCGTGGCATGTAAGATCATCTTTGTCAGAGTTGACTGAAAGTACATGAGACAGAAGGTTGTGGATAGACATGACTACCAACGCCACACAGCATGGACTATGGAAGACCATCTGTGTCAGAGTAGATTGAAAGTACACGAGACAGAAGGTTGTGAATAGACATGACTACCAACGCCACACGGCACGGACTGGAAGACCATCTGTGTCAGAGTAGATTGAAAGTACACGAGACAGAAGGTTGTGGATAGACATGACTACCAACGCCACACGGCACGGACTGGAAGACCATCTGTGTCAGAGTAGATTAAAAGTACACGAGACAGAAGGTTGTGGATAGACATGACTACCAACGCCACTCACCACCAGGTGATACAGAACCAGCCACTATGTCTGCATGTTTATTTCTTTACATACCAGCATACCCCGGAGAAAATATTCAAAAAAAACTTAACTCTTTATTCTGTTTTGTTTTCCCTCCAGGACTCCAGTCTGTAGAATTACCATCTCAAGGGTGAGATCAAACCAACACTAATCCTAGAAACATTGTTCAACCTTATAGCCATATAGCACAGTTACACTAGGGCACCACAAAACCTTTATTACAAAGTTTATCCAGTGGTGGGTAGGTTTGAAGCCAACTTTGTTCACAATTAAAGAGAGCGACACAGGACAGACAGTTGGGAACGGAATTATATGGAAGCTTTACCACCAGCCCAAGGGCTGACACATTGGATGATAATGATTATGATGATGAAGAAGAGGAGAAGAGGAGGATGGTTGTAGTGGTGGTGACAACAACTGTACCTGACATATTGAACATTGAGCTGGCTCATAAAGGGCAGATAAGCGATGGCTGCAGCCATCACTGTCTCAAAGACTATGGCAGAGTTCAGTACCCAGTTCCTGGTTCAACACAGAAAGCACATTTTCACTTTGTTTTGTGAAACTAGCTGTCTGTCTGTCTGTCTGTCTGTCTGTCTGTCTGTCTGTCTGCCTGCCTGCCTGCCTGCCTGCCTGCCTGCCTGCCTGCCTGCCTGCCTGCCTGCCTGTCTGTCTGTCTGTCTGTCTGTCTGTCTGTCTGTCTGTCTCTTTATCTGTCTGTCTGTCTGTCTGTCTGTCTGTCTGTCTGTCTGTCAGTCTGCCTGTCTGTCTCTCTATCTACCTTTCTGTCTGCCTGTCTGTCTATCTGTCTGCCTAACTGCATACACGTGTCCCATGCTTAAAGATAAAATGGACGTCGTCAAGGCACTATAACCTCAAAGACATGTGGACTTTCAATCAGGTCGCAACTGGCACTAGCAGTGTGAAAACCTTTCCTTGGCTACGGAGGAAGGGGTGAGAGAACACCTCAAGCGAAGCGACGACAGTGAAGGACTGATCCATTCATTTTATGCAGAATCTACCCAAACGACCAGACCAATTAAAAAAAAAAAAAAAGCCAGTAAGATAGCATTCAGTCGAGACCACCACTGCGTTACCAAGAATCCCCGTCATTTTTTGAAGGATCATCATCGTAAATCAGCAAGTCTTTTACAGAACGTTGCTCTCTCTTCACGACAACGCCTGAAAGTATCTTTAACTCTTACCAGTTCTCCAGCTCTGGGTGTTTTCATATCTAATGTATCTTCAATATCCTATATCTATCTTCGCAAAGGTCTGCTTCTTAGTCGTTTTCATGAAACCCTCCATCACCATTCTCTCTACGCTCCCAGGGGGCGGTGTGGTCTCGACGCATGGTGTCCGCCTCGAATGCTAGAGGTTCCGGGTTCAATCACCGGTAAAGGCTGGGTAGTCTCTGGGTAGTGAGATCGGACGCCCGTGTGTATTGTTGCTCACGTAAAAAAATCCTTGGCAGTTGGAAATCGAAAATAGTAACCTAACAGCGCTGCCCCGGCCAAATTTGGAGTTAAAAATCTAGCCAAAGTATTTCAGGATCCTTGCCGGCGGTGCTACAGAGCCTGTGCACTATGCTGAGCTTCTTCGGACTCGACTTGAGTTAGAAGAAGAACGGAGCACTTATGGGTTACTACCCGTGTGCCATGATGTTGATCCGTTGTTCGACACCTTAAACCTCTACGCTACCGTGATGTTTAAAAAAAAAAAAATTAGTTGCGTGTCCTATAGTGGACGTTGTAGAACCAACCCTAGCATGTTTTGACAGTTTGTGACTTTACTAGCCAGTTTTACGTTCTACGTTCAGTAGTTTGCCATTACCACCCAACGGTCGGCTGTCAATACTACTGATGAAACCAACGCAAGGCGGTCCGTTGCCAAATCTCCCGCAGCTTGGATCAAACCCAGCGCTACGTAATTACGAAGCCACACACGTCGACATCATGACGTTTAACACGGCAAAGTTAACTCAGCTTTCGGGACAGTATGCTGTTTGTGAGCCAGTTTTCCTCGATGTGCAGATTTCAGTTTAATCTAAAAAATTCTAGGGTTATGGCCCTTGGTACCCCCCCCCCCCCGGCTATTTATTCTAGGGTCCAACGTGTCTCTTCAGATATATAATATCCTTACGTCCTTTTTAGGACGTAATTTTTTGTTATTTGAAGCCCCACTCTGGCTTTTGCCAGGGGCCGCAATATAGGCAGGCCATCAATATGGCCAATTGTCTGAATGCGGTTTCTGGGACCTCTCCACGGCGAGCCTCATCCGCATGGTGGCACTTTGTGTCATCGGGTGTTTATCGCTTGTGTGATGTCCTGGTGGGGTAGAAAGTCGGTCAGTCAGTCAGTGTCTCTTCATTTTGCTGGCAAGACATAAACGTGGCACTGGAACACAATGTTTTCCAATGTCTCTCTTCTCATTACATGGTCAAAGAACTGTGTTTGTCTCCTTCTTATTGTTGTCTATAGAGATCTACTTTCATTAGCTTCTTTCAAGCAATCGTTGTTAGTTACTCTGGCCTTTCATTAGCTTCTTTCAAACAATCGTTAGTTACTCTATACTTACTTCATGCCATGTGTAAAGAGAGACAGTCTCCGGGTTTTGCTGATGATCAGGTCGGCCCACTGGACCACAACGATGCTGATGAAGAAAGCCGTGTGGCAGGTCTGCTCCAGTCGTTTACGTTGATAGTAGGTCTGCACAACCAAGATACAGGAGTGTAAATTAACTGACAGTTCGTCTAAAACACAAGAAAGAAACACGTAAAATACATAATGGTTAGTTTAAATAATTAGAAAGAAAAGTTAGATGTTAATGTCTCTACAAAACTGAGAAAGAACTGTGCAATTTAACTAACAGTTCGTCTAAAAACACGAAGAAAGAATATTGTAAATTAACTAACAGTTCGCCTAAAACACGAAGAAAAAAATGGTAAATTAACTAACAGTTTGTCTAAAAAAAAAAAAAAGAAGAAAAAATATTGTAAATTAACTAACAGTTTGTCTAAAAACACGAAAAAAAATATTGTAAATTAACTAACAGTTTGTCTAAAAAAAAAAAAAGAAGAAAAACTATTGTAAATTAACTAACAGTTCGCCTAGAAACACAAAGAAAGAATATTGTAAATTAACTAACAGCTCGCCTAAAAACACGAAGAAAGGATTATGAACATTAGCCGATCGTCTGTGTAAATATTAGAAAGAGTTGTGTAAATTAACTGTTAGAACATCAACAGAAACGAGAAATTATTGTATAAATTAATGGATAGAGTCTAAGGCTAAGGCAATGCAAACGCGTTTCGAAATTCTAAAGTACCCGGTTAGATTCCAGCTGCGGTCAATTTGACAGCAAGCCGCCTTGCGTTAATTTAGCCAAGATATCAAGAGACGACCATTGAGTGAGCATTGGCAAACTACTCATCGAAGGTTGTTTGGAAAAAAAAAACAGAAAATAGAAATCGTGTTTTATATGGTTATTGTGGCAAATATAGAGATAGTCTTGTTTGCTGTACCACGACCTACTCTATGTTTAGAGAAGGCGTTGGCTGCACGTAACTCGCCATCGAATGTTGGAAGCTTCGGCGCATGCGCAATTACTAACGTGGCTATAATGAGAAATCACTAAAATTATAAATATTAGTTTCGAATATTATGGCCTAAATTGTGGTCACCTATCTCTAACAGTGACAGGTTGAATTTCAAACCATGATGGTTCAACATCCGGTATCAAAACAAACATATCCTGAAAATTTCAGCTAAATCGGTTCAGTAGTTTCAGAGTCTATAAGGGGCAAACAAACACACAAACATCGATTTTTATATATATATAGACAAGTAGAAGTCTTTCTGTGCCTCAGTCGATTTCTATATCATCGTTTTGAGTATGTACATTTCACTTTTGTTGTTGCTCTTCGTTGATGGATGGTCAAATATGGATATATATATATATATATATATATATATATATATATATATATATATATATATATATATATATATATATATATATATATATATATATATATATATATATATATTTATATCTTTTTTTAAGCGCCATTTTTGCTAATTTCGTTTTGTAATATACCCTTCAAGTCCATATTTTCCCCGCATTACTTGGTTTCCTGTTGACTTTGGTTCTTTAGAAGCTGTTTTCTTTTCCGTTGAATTTTCCAGCCTGATTTGGTGTTGTATTTAGTAGTCCGTTGATGAAGACGTTGGTCGAAACGTTCCTTTGTATTTTTCATTACCCAATTTTATGTTATATTTAGCCTTTCTTGAAACTAGCTTGACTACAGGTACCTATTTAACTTAAGTAAAACACTTCTTTTAAACTTTTCACCTCTTTAGGCGTATTGGGCACATAGTGCAAGACCTATATTTTATAAACCAATCGGCACTCGATGAATGATGTGTTCAATATCACGCCGGCCGTCTTTGATTTCCAGGACTTTACCTGGTACCCATTTAAGTAAAGAGTAAAGATCCCTCTTCAAGCTTTTAGGCGCATTATGCATTTGGGAAGAGGGCCAAAATTTCTACAGACTAATCGGCACTAGGTGGGTAATGTGGTCAGCATTACGCCGGCCGTCTTTATTTCCCTAGGACATACATCATGCTACCTATTTTAGGCTGGGTCGACCTGCGACGCCCCATACCATTAAAAAATCCACACAGCCAGCAGTGGGTTTCGATCGCGGTACGATGAAATTACGAGTCGGACTCGCAACGCCTAAGCCACGGACGCCGCTGGTACCCATTTAGGCCACCTTATATTTTTAACGTAATCACAAACTGGAACCGCTGACAATACCAACCCACTCCTGGCCGTAGGAATCGGCCAGGCTGTTGACCGCCTTGGAGTCCCATCTCTCGCGGATGTTGAGCAGGTCGCAGGCCCAGAACCCGTTCTCCGCCATGATGACGATGTAGATGAAGAAGCCGGCCAGAGCTTGGAACATTCCAATCATCCCGTAGGCGATGGAGATCAGCCTGGGGACACATCGATCAACTCTTTCAGTGCCACAGAGAGTAACAACAGATGGAGATCAGCCAGGGGACACATCGATCAACTCTTTCAGTTCCACAGAGAGTAAAAACAGATGGAGATCAGCCTGGGGACACATCGATCAACTCTTTTAGTTCCACAGAGAGTAACAACAGATAGAGATCAGCTTTGAGACACATCGATCAACTCTTTCAGTTCCACAGAGAGTAACAACAGATGGAGATCAGTCTGGGGACACATCGATCAACTCTTTCAGTTCCACGGAGAGTAACAACAGATAGAGATCAGCCTGGGGACACATCGATCAACTCTTTCAATGCCACAGAGAGTAACAATAGAGATTAGATGTCTTAGAAGAGCTGTCGGTGGGACAAGAAGAGATAAAATCAGGAATGAAGAAATTAGAAGAGGACTAGGACTGAAACCAGTCATACAAGTCATTAAAGAACAACAAATGAGATGGTTTGGTCACCTGACGAGAATGCTCTGTTACCAGCTGCAACAGAGAGCCACGCTAAAGAAATATAATGAACACAGAGCAAGGGGAAGACCATGCAAGAAATGAAGCGACACCATCAAGAGCAACATAACAGCGATGAACACCAACTTGTACAATGCATTGGAAAAAGCGCAAAAGAAACGATCCTTACATCTCCCCTAGCACCTTAATGAGGCAAATGATGGAAGAGAAGAAGAAGTTGCTTGCACAGAGGTGTACTGTTATTTGTTCTGTGCCTAGAAGTTTTAATACCTATTATTAATTTAAGTTATTTGCGTATCCTTTATAGGACGTTACAGGACCAACCCCAGTGTTTTTTTTTTGGCTGTTGTGGTTTTCCTAGGCAAATTGTACGTTCATTAGTTTACCTTTGTCTACTGAACGGTCAGGTCTTGTTACCATTGTGAACACCGTCCGCCGCTGGGATCGAACCCGGCACCCCGGCATTACGAAGCGCGTTAGCAACGCCTAAGCCACAGACTCTGATACTTGTGTCTAAAGAGGGTTAATAATAAAATCCTATGACTGAAAGGGTTCAAGAGACGATTGTTATAGAGTGGGTCGTGTAACCGGTTTCTGAGGTACAGCGCTTTGCTAACGCAGTTTCCAAAAATGGACTGTAGGCTGCGATTTCACTGCCTGAGCTGCTGTGTTTAGTGCTTGGTGCAGCCCTGTGAGCTGTCTTTTTTCATGTGGAATGCCTTTCATTTGTGCAGCGGTTGTGTGGTGGTATTCAATACGGCCGGTAGCCAGTTTACGTATGAGCTTGTGAAACATTTTATGTAATAATTCTACGTGTGTATGGCCAACTTATCGTGCGCGACTACTTCCATCAACGACAAACTGCATTTCTGGTGACGACTGTTGGCTTTGGCGCCTCTGGCAATTGCCATATGCATTTACTGCGTGCGCATTTTTCTGGATTGTTCCGAGACCAGTTGCTCACCAGGTTTTCAGATGGGACAGTGAGAGAATTTTCTTCAGATTTTTACTGGCATAGAAACGGAACAAAGTTTGGGGAAACCCGATTGCGGTGTTGCCTCATAAATATTCTATTCCTACTATCATCATTATCAGTTCTCGTTATGCCTAGTGGCACATGAGATTTCAGAGAGGACTTTCAAAGCTTTCCTATCCTGTGCAATCTCTAGTGCAGTTTTCCATGTCAATGATGCCGCACTCAGGTCACTTTCCATCGTGCATCTCCATATTGTTTTGGGGCGCCCCTGTTTTCTCTTTTCCTCTGGTGTCCATGTGAGAGCTGTTTTGGCGGGTATATCAGGATTCATTCTCATATCGTGGCCAAGCCATTTCCATCTTCTCTTGGTAATCATACTGTCTAAAGTTTCTTGGTTTGTGACTTGAAGTAGTTTAGTGTTTGAGATTGTATCTGGCCAGAAAATGTTGATAATTCTACGTAGACATGTGTGGTGGAAGGTGGACAGCTCGCGTGCATCCTTTTTGGCCATTCTCCAGCATTCCGCTCCATAAAGAAGAACTGGCAAAATAATGCTCTTATAGAGTCGGAGTTTCGTTCCTCTGCAGTAACTGTTGGATTTCCAGATTTGCCTCTGTTACTTTTCTCTTGAAAAGACGCTGGTGTTGGATGGAACACACGTCAAGAAAACCTGAGAACAATATAACTAGAATGCCTTTGCCTTTGCAGAGAAATAAAGTAACTAAATTATGTGCAGGGACTCTATGTAATTGTCTATTGCAGAGCGCTGGAAAAAAAACTGTGAATAAAAACGTGACAGTATTACTTCGCACTGCATACCGCCAGCAGAAAAACAAACAACTATTGGTAGTTAACTGTTTTTTGGAGATCACACATCTTTTTCGTGACAACTTACGGATGCGGGTAATTGATTCTTACTCAATCTTTAAAAAAATAAAAACAGAAACTTTCGAATTGAAATGCTACAGAAACAAAACAAAATCTTTGAAAAGCGTGGGTCAAGAAGAAGAACCAAACCGGCATCTTATATGATCTGGGCATCGAGGAGAATTGGCTCATAGACAGCATCCTGTCCTGAAAGTTGGGGTACTTTAGCCAAGCTAGGCGTCATGGCGGTCTGGACAGATGGGTGATTAAAAACAACGAAACAAACCTCTACGAAGATGGGATACAAGACACTAGAGGTGCATTGGCTAGAAAGCACATAGGGCTGGAGACATGGCTAGAGAACGAGAGATTATCAAACGTGTCGTGGCGAATGCGAAGTTATTAGAAAAGATTATCATCACAGCACTCCGGACAGATCCATAGGTGCTGAGATCTCCTCCTCAAAAGCTCCACACGTGTAAAACGACTGATGACGCCTGTTCTGTGTTGGTTAATGAAACGTCTTGTCCCCTTAGTCAAATGTTCATGTCTTGCAGCTCCAGGCTGCACCCCCATATCCATCAGTCTAGACAGGATATGAAGTCATGTCCTTTGACGTGCTCCTCGGTACGGTAAGTGCAGCGCATGGCATTGATAACATCGCTTCTGTCCAGTACTGGGCCAGCCATAGCAACCGAAGTGTCAGCAAGATAGTCTGCACGCTCGTTCCTTGTACACCCGCATGACCTGGCACAAAGATAAAAGCTAGGGCGGATATTCGTGAAGTGCTTAGTGTTGCAATCCATTCTTGCCTGATAAATCCAGCTTGGATTTTTTCAGCATATTCATCGAGTCACTAAGAAAGCATACGTGTGTGAACTTTTGAGTACCTTTCTTCTTCTTTTTCTGCGTTCGACATCAGTCATGCTACACATTGAGTCCCGTTTGGGTCAAAAATAGGATTGTGTGTTTAAGGTCGCCACCGCCCCCCCCCCCATAGCTTCTCTCGCAATGTGGATCCACTGGGCCAGATCCACAGTCTTTGCTGGGAGAGGTTAGGGCAGTGCTGCTGTATGTGCTCAGGGGTCTGTCTTTCTGCTCCACAAGCACAGGCAGCAGATTCTTTTATGCCTATCCCGTACAGGTGTGCTCGAAGTCCACAGTGTCCAGTCCAAAGTCTAAAAATTGATGTTTGTTCTTTCCTGTTGAGTTTGTTTATGCTGTCACTCTCTGGTCTGTAATCTCCATTCTGCCTTCTCCACTCCCGCTTGAAAGACTGCATTAGCGCTGTTTTGGTTTCCTTGTAGCTGTGTGGTTGATGAGGTTGTGGAATATTGAGTACCAAACCATGCTCAAGCCCTTGTTACAGCCATAGGCTCCTAATTGAAACAGCAAAGATGAGAGTGAAGTGCTAATCGATGATGACAGTAACTGTTATTTTAAAAAGACCACTATGAAGAGACGCTGATTTATTTTGAATCGAAAATCAGACTTACCTCTGATTGACAAGTTTATCCGTTTTGGCGTTCCGGGGTCGTCTTTTCATAATGTCCAGCTCCGAGGATTCATAAGCCAATGAAATGGCCGGATACATATCGGTGCCAAGGTCAATGAACAAGATGGTGACCACGCCCAGGGGAAGGGGTACGGACATAGTAATGTAAATCAAGAACGGGCTGATTTCCGGGATATTTGAAGTTAGGGTGTAGGCGATTGATTTCTTTAGGTTGTCAAAGATCAGTCGACCTAGAGAGGGGAAGCAAACGACATCTGAATAGTCAGTTCGAGCACTTATGTGGAAGGCATCTCATCATGTCTTTCTGTGACTCGTTTCATCATTTTCATCATTTTTTAACATCATGATCATCATCATGTTATCATCATTATCCTCATTTTCATTATCATAACCATCATCATATAATCGTCATTATCATAACTATCATAACCACAACCATCATCATATTAGATATTAGTGATTTTAAAGGATTATCATCACAGCACTCCGGACATATCCATAGGTGCTCAGATCGTCTCCTCACAAGCTCCACATCATCATATCATCGTTATTATCATAACTATCATCCCCACAACCATCGTCATTTAATCGTCGTTATCATCACCACAATCATCATAATTTAATCGCCCCACTCCCATGACAGCAGACTTACTCAACCCCACTCCCATGACAGCAGACTTACTCAACCCCACTCCCATGACAACAGACTTACCCTCCTCCACTCCCATGACAACAGACTTACCCTCCTCCACTCCCATGACAACAGACTTACCCTCCTCCACTCCCATGACAACAGACTTACCCTCCTTCACTCCTATGACAACAGACTTACCCTCCTCCACTCCCATGACAACAGACTTACCCTCCTCCACTCCCATGACAACAGACTTACCCTCCTCCACTCCCATGAAAACAGACTTACCCTCCTCCACTCCCATGACAACAGACTTACCCTCCTCCACTCCCATGACAACAGACTTACCCTCCTCCACTTCCATGACAACAGACTTACCCTCCTCCACTCCCATGACAACAGACTTACCCTCCTCCACTCCCATGACAACAGACTTACCCTCCTTCATTCCCATGACAACAGACTTACCCTCCTCCACTCCCATGACAACAGACTTACCCTCCTCCACTCCCACGACAACAGACTTACCCTCCTCCACTCCCATGACAACAGACTTACCCTCCTCCACTCCCACGACAACAGACTTACCCTCCTCCACTCCCATGACAACAGACTTACCCTCCTCCACTCCCACGACAACAGACTTACCCTCCTCCACTCCCATGACAACAGACTTACCCTCCTCCACTCCCATGACAACATACTTACCCTCCTCCACTCCCATGACAACAGACTTACCCTCCTCCACTCCCACGACAACAGACTTACCCTCCTCCACTCCCATGACAACAGACTTACCCTCCTCCACTCCCATGACAACAGACTTACCCTCCTCCACTCCCACGACAACAGACTTACCCTCCTCCACTCCCATGACAATGGATGCAAAGTTGTCATCGAGAAGGATCATGTCTGCAGCCTGCTTGCTGACGTCACTGCCGGCTATCCCCATGGCAACCCCTTGTTGGAAAGACGAGCTTTAGAAAGTCAACATTTCTGAATCCCCATTACAAAATGTAAATTTTATTAAACAATGCCAAATCCTAAGAAATGATTATAAATCCAAACACAAAAAATTATAAACCCCATCAAACAGTTCTAGATGCGGATCTTTAATTATAATCCAAACCCAAAACAAAGGAATTTAGGAAGTTCAATACTTTAGGGATTAATTATAGAGTGTTATGGTTTGAAATGACACCGAGCAACTCTAACGCTAGTCCTGAAACCCCTAGAATATTGTACTTTTCCTGGAACCCCCAGTTTTGCTTTGTTTGGGGTGAATGAAATATAAAGTATCCAGATTTCCATTGTTTGGGGTGAATAAAAATTAAATTACCCTAAATTTTGAGAAACAATTCTAAATCTGAATATCAAATAAGTAATTCTAGATTCGAAAAATATGTCTACCACAGACACGTAGACAGTTGAAGGGCTGTTGCAACACCTTGTTTCTGCAATACTGGCCAGGTTTTTGCTATGGAAAGCCCCCCCCCCCCCCCCCCCCCCCCCCCCCCCCCCCCTCCCCCCCCCCCCCAAATGGTGTAGAATGTCTATCTTTGAATACTTTCACTTTATTTATATTTGACAAGTTTTTTTCCTACTGTTTTAAAATTGCAAAGTCTTTGATCAGATCCTAAAAGTATTCTTTTTTGCAACATCTGATTCTATACTTAATAAAAAAATAAGGCGCCCAGCCTACATTGTTGCTTTGTTTTTCTAATGAGATTTTAAAATATAAAAAATGTGTTTGGTGCCTCCTCCCATTGTGATGCCCCAAGCACGTGTTTGGTGTACCTAATGACCACGGCCTTCTCTATTTATAGGCCTAACAGGTCAACGGGGATTAGAGAAGGCAGTGCTAATGGCTAACCCGGCCCTGGTAAAGACACATTTACGTACCGATATCTGCTTGTTTGAGCGCTGGCGAATCATTGACCCCGTCACCGGTCACAGCAACGATGGCACCTGTCCGTTGACATCCCTCCACGATGATCAGTTTCTGCTGAGGCGAAGTCCGAGCGAAGACAATCTCATAGTGGTGTCTGAGAACTTGGTCGAGGTCTTCCGGTGAGTAATTCTTCAGTTTCTCTCCTTGGACAACAATAGCCCGGGCTTCGCTGTACAACCACAGGAATTAGATTAAACTGTTCTAACACAATGATCAACATGAAATGGAATAAATTCATGAAGGTGGAAGAAACTAGAGATATCTTCTTCTTCTTCTTTTTTTTTTTTTTTTTTTTTTTTTTTTGCGTTTACCAGCTGTAAACTCTGTTGGAAAGTTCTGGTTGTTCGTCCACTTCTGGACTGCAGTCCTGTTCCAGAACTTGAATGTTGGATATGCATCCGTTTGACAGATCTGACTAATTTGTACGCAGACTGCTGGTTCCTTGGCTCTCAGGCAGATGCACTCCGACTTTGAAGGAAGCTCCCAATTAGTCGACTCTTACGACATGCTTTTGGGTAGGCAGTGGGTCTATTCTTGTTTTCCCTCTAACAGGACCCAGGAACCCACACGGGGAACTAGAGAAATGTCTCTGCAGCCACAGATGACAACAGTTGTAAGACAAAGAAAAAGGGCCCATCCTGGGAAGAAACGAGTAGACAATCACCAAACAGGCACTAAAATGGGAAATAAAAGGATTGAGGATGTAAAGACGTCCGAAAGGAACTCCAAACGAACGTTGATTAGTTACTGGTACTGGGCAAAGGCAGTAGACTGGAATCCATATATGACAGCAAATTAATTGCTTCTGTCTCGTTTTCGGAAAAATCCACTTTCCATCAGCGTTTTTCTGACCAGGCCACCGTGGCGCTTGGCGTGTCCAAAACACACCGCTCAGCTTTCGGGAGAGGATTCTGTTTACGGGACAGTTTTCCTTGATGTTCAGATCACGCAGGATGTCGGCGTTTTTTTTTTTTTTTTTTTTGTGGTCCAGGGTATTTTTAGAATTTTCATAAAGTGTGAATGAGAGTCCACGACTCACAACCATAAGTTGTCACGGAAAAGATGCAGAATTTCAAACATTTTCCTGAAGTAAATATTTAAAACGTAAAGTAAAGGACCCTTTTCCAAGCATTCAGGCATATAGAGCTATATTTTATAGACCAATCGGCACTTGGTGGGTCTTGTGGTCAGCATCACGCCGGCCGCCTTTACTTTCCAGGGCTTGTAACCGGTACCCACTCACGGCTGAGTCGACTTGGAAGAAAGTCAATGCTACCCAGAAAGAAAGGGTGGGGGGGGGGGGAGTTGCGAAAAGAAATTTGAATAAAAGGGTGAATGCTAAGGCTGGATATGGTACAGGTACCTACGGTAGTATAACATCTAAGGCCCCCCCAGTAATCACAGTCAGTTAAAGGCGTCGGAGCCTGCAGGACTAAGGCACATTGACGCCCCGTTACACCCCTATAACTCGTTTTTTCAAAACAGTTTTACAAAATTATCTAATTTCCAACACCCCCCGCCCCCCTTCCTTTTTTCAAATCATGTTTCCTTTTCAAGTTGCTGTTTATAATATCAAATTATTTCGAATAGACAAATTTTTATCTTTGCCATTTAGCAAATCGTTATTACATCGGCCATGCACTCAGAACGGATGAGACCAAACTCCCACATTAAGCCCTCATATAGACACCCGAAGGAGGGGAAAAAACGGGGAAGACCATGAGAGGCCTTGTGTAGAACCATTTTCTGGAAAGGCTCAACCAGGGGCCTAACAAACATCCAAGACCTAAAACAGGGGGCAATGAACCGCCAGACATGGAGAGATATGACCTGTGCCCTATGGGCCGCCCTAGGCTCAAGAGGAAAAACAAAATAACATTACTATTATGAGGCACATATATAAGTATTTCATTCTTTGAGCTCCATACCTAAAAAATGTCTAAGGATCCCCCCCCCCTCTCTTTTCCCCTTCCGTATCTGTGGTATTTGCGTGCGCGCGCGCCGGCGACCTGTGGTGACTCAATCTGGCTATCCGGTACGGCGACGCCTTGCTCAGAACGATAGATCTCGCATGCCTGACCGGCAACCAGATTGGCGAGCAGCAAATGTTTGCAACCTACGGCCTGTGTCACAGCGCGGCATGTGAAACAATTTTTAGTGGAACGCTGAGTGAATTAAAGCACAGTATATCATCTAACTGAGAAGCGGCTGACATCGAAAGGTTGAGAGCCCTGGTTTCAAATTCTCGAAAAGGCTGAGAGGAATTATTATTATGCACTAGTCATGTGGCCCTAAATCGGCATGCTCAACGAACCCCTTGCCTACACAATACCAAATGCCTGACGGGTCATCCATGACCTACTTTAGATCTTAAGTAGGTCGTAGGTCAATGGTACTAAAGTTACTTGACTTTTATGTTGCACTAAAGTAAGTCATGAGTCAGGGGTACTAAAGTTATTTGACTTTACGTTGCACTGAAGTAGGTCATAGGTCATTGGTAATAAAGTTACTTGACTTTTACATTTGCACTAAAGTAGGTCATGGATCATTTGTACTAAAGTTATTTGACTTTACGTTGCTCTGAAGTAGGTCATGGATCATTTGTACTAAAGTTATTTGACTTGTATGTTGCACTCACTCTGGGTTAACATCCTCAACAGCGATCCCTCTGAGGGTGGCCACCTCTTCCACGGTGTAACAGTTTGGTGTGATGATACCGACCCCTTTGGCGATAGCATGCGCTGTTATTGGGTGATCCCCAGTCACCATTATCACCTGTAGAACATAGAGGTGTACCAATATATCCTGTAGAACATAGAGGTGTACCATTATATCCTGTAGAACATAGAGGTGTACCATTATCTCCTGTAGAACATAGAGGTGTACCATTATCACATTTAGAATATAGAGGTGTACCATTATAGAACATAGAGGTGTACCATTAGCTCCGATAGAACATAGAGTATACCATTGACCTTCTTCTGTAGCAACATAGAGGTGTACCATTATCGCCTTTAGAACATAGAGGTGTACCATTATCTCCTATTAGAACATAAGGTGTAACCATTATCTCCTGTAGAACATAGAGTTGTGTATCTCCATTAGAAATAGAGGTGTACCATTATCTCCTGTAGAACATAGAGGTGTACCATTAGTACTCCTGTAAAATCATAGAGGTGTACCATTATCTCCTATAGAACATAGAGGTGTACCATTATCTCCTGTAAAACATAGAGGTGTACCATTATCTCCTATAGAACATAAAGGTGTACCATTATCTTCTGTAGAACATAGAGGTGTGCCAATATCACCTTTAGAACATAGAGGTGTACCATTATCTCCTATAGAACATAAAGGTGTACCATTATCTCCTGTAGAACGTAGAGGTGTGCCAATATCACCTTTAGAACATAGAGGTGTACCATTATCACCTGTAGAACATAGAGGTGTACCATTATCACCTGTAGAACATAAAGGTGTACCATTATCACCTGTAGAACATAGAGGTGTACCATTATCACCTGTAGAAATAGAGGTGTACCATTATCACCTGTAGAACATAGAGGTGTACCATTATCTCCTGTAGAACATAGAGGTGTACCATTATCACCTGTAGAACATAGAGGTGTACCATTATCACCTGTAGAACATAGAGGTGTACCATTATCACCTGTAGAACATAGAGGTGTACCATTATCTCCTGTAGAACACGGTGGTGGGTAACAGCACAGGTAGATACAGGATACACTCATGAGTAAACTAAAACTCAGATCAAGGAATCCATTAGAACCCACTAGGACATTTGCATTTGCCACCCAGGACACAGGGGACCCGCCGTGGTTTAGCGGTTAGACGCTCCAATGCGGATCGGTAGGTCGTGGGTTCCATTCCTTACGGGACCTGGGCTTTTATTTTAAAAAAACTGACCGTGGCTCCCAGGTCGACCCAGCCTTGAGTGAGTACCAGCTGCAGTCCCGGGAAGTACCGCCCATGAAGTACCGTTTGGTCTATAAAATATAGGCCTAGCCCTATATACCCAATACGCCTGAAAGGCGTGGAAACGGGTCCCTTACTTTACCGAGGACACAGTCTGAAGACGTAATCGACCCTCATAAACCAGAGAAGCAGATCATGATATTTAGACTGCAAACTGGACACAATAGACTGCTGTCATATGTAGCAGAAGTTCAAGAGTGGGGACTCGGAACTTGACCCATGTGGACTGGTACCACAGAATACTGAACAAATCCTACAAACAGGCTCTCTACATGCAGTAGACAACGAACGAACAAACTTTGTTTTCAAAGGGTTACTAATTGGGCACGCAGGCCCGTCTGACATTCGGCCCTTCTAAGCACTCATTTTTCAGAGTACCAGTGCCTGTTATCAATTATGCATGTAGCGGATATAATAAAGAAATATGCATTATAGAATAATGCATTCACACATCATGTGTACACAATCTTACACACTCACACACACACGTATATATACTCTTACATTCTCATACATGCACATTCATATACAGACATACCTAATACATACATATACGCATCTAAATACATACACAAACAGAAAAGACACACACATACACATATGGACATACATGCACACACACATTCATTCCATACATACACACCTACACATGCATGGATACACACACATACAATCACATGTACAGACATCAACATACGCCCAAAACCACACATTTACACTCACATGCATACATACACATACATGCATACATACACACATCTATACATACACCTACACCTTTACACACATACCCACATACATACTTGCATACATACCTAAATACACACACACACACATACACCCACATACTTACACTGCTACAATTGCATTCATACATCCACAAACATGCATACATACACTCATAGATAGATGCACACATACATGCATAAATATACCCACAAACATGCCCACACAAATTACATACATAGAGATATCTCCAGCTGCTGTCGTTTGAATTCCAGTGGAAACCAGGCTGTGTGAATGACTGACTGACTGACTTTCTACCCACCAGGACATCACACAAGCGATAAACACCCGATGACACAAAGTGCCACCATGTGAATGAGGATCACCGTGGAGAGGTCCCAGAAACCGCGTTCAGCCATTAGGTCATATTTATGGCCGGGCTATATTGCGGCCCCCGGCAAGAGCCAGTTTTTTTTTTTTTTTCAAGTGATCACTGTCTGGTTGATATTATGTCACAAAACAATTTTTCAGGTAAAAATTGGGAACACTTATTGAAATTTAAATGATCTCCTGTCTCCCGGGGATGACAGGGTGGACTATGATAAAGTCGCAGACAAACTGTCCTCCGACTCTGTCTTTTCACCCTCGTCCTCTGTCGCACTGGTGTTGAATTCACTTTCTGTATCGGCTTTGAGGTGTTTTTGGTTTTGACACAGGCATTTTCTTGGGCTGGAGGTGTATCGCAGCATTGTTCAAAAATGTCACCCTGAAAAAAAACGGTGGCTGACTGACTTTCTATCCCACCAGGACATCACACAAGCGATAAACACCCGAGTACACAATGTGCCACTATGTGGATGAGGATCACCTTGGAGAGGTCCCAGAAACCGCGTTCAGACAATTGGCCATAATTATGGCCTGGCTATATTGCGGCCCCCGGCAAGAGCCAGGGTGGGGCTACAAATAACGACAAATGTCATCCTGAAAAGGACGGTGAATAACTCTGGCTGTGTGGATCAGAGAAAGACACGCATCACACCACAGACTTCACTGGGGCCTGTGGCCTTCTCAGCTGAAAAACCACTAGCAGAGAGAAGAAGAACAAGTAGAAGTTCCATAAATGGAGTAATTACACGCGCGCGCACACACACACACACAAACACACACACCTTGTGCTCGATAACTTAAAACAAAATTGGCAAACATGGATTAAATGTTATTAAGGGGAATTAAGAAATTATTGCCCTTTAGTAGAGTAATTATTTCCCCTGAAAAAATATATTTTATTCACTGACTTTATATAATATTAGACATCGAAAATGACTACTAAATCACACAGATTTTCGGAATAGTTTTCACCAAATGGCCGTGTTACATACAAAGCTATTGCCAGCACTATAGCTTACGGTAAAACAATAAAAAAAATTGAACGCGCAATCCCGACCAGGCAAACAGACTAAGCCAAAATTAATAAAAGCCTATAAAAATTACCTTAATCCCCGCACTACGACATTTGGCGACTGCGTCTGGAACTGCGGCCCGAGGGGGGTCAATCATGGACATAAGTCCCAGAAATCGAAGACCCATCAGTGGGAAATTGGGGTCGTCCGCGTTAAAGGGGTAGCTTTCCGGGTACATGGCTTTCTTCAGCTTGAGATCGGCGAATCCTTGAAGGAAACATAAAAGACAAATAAATTGAAAATGAAAGACCCGCAACCGCAAGTAATAAGTAAATGATTTTAAGACACCAAAAACAATTTTGTTGTTGTTCTTTTTATTTTTATTTTTCGCGTTCACCAGCTGTGAACGCCGGCGGAAATTTCTGATTGTCCGTCCACGTCTGGACTGTAGTCCTGTTTCAGCACTTGAGAGTTGCGTGTGCATCAATTTTACAGATCTGACTCATTTGTATACAGACTGATGGTTCCTTGCCTCTCTGTCAGATGCACTCCGACATCGAAGGATGTGGTGGTGGTGGTGGTGGCGGCAGTAGTAGTAGCTGTTTTTGTTTACTTGTAGTATGTTGTTGTTGTTCTAGTAGTTCCAGTAGTATTGGCAGCAACAGTAGTAGTGGAATTGGTAGTGTTGGTGATGTTCACGGTGGAAGTAGTAGTAGTAGTAGTAGCAGCAGCAGCAGCTGTTCATACTTCTTACTCCAATAACTACTGCAGACACGACCAGTCAGTCAGCTTTTTTCTTTCCATTCACACCCGGGGTATCCCGCGGTGTACAACCAAAATCATGTCTTCAGACGGGACTTTTGGGCGATGTCTACCCCTTCCGGTCTGAATTTGCCAGTTTGGATCTTCTTAATCATGCTCACAGAACCTGTCCCTGGCAATGTTTTGGAGATCTATTCGGCTGCTATCTGCAACTAAAGTAGAGCCGGTCAGCTGTTAAAAGGAATCCGTTCTGACGAACATACACACAGTCAAACTGGCTTCTGTAAAAGTAACATATCTTTACCTTAAACAAAGAATCACTTGTTTCTGTAAGGCATCTTTTGTAAAACTGGCACTATAAGAGTGAAGAGACACATCATTTTTTTTACGTAATCGTACCCAAGACTCTCTCCCCGCGGCCTCCTAGGTCCAGATAGGCCTTGTCGAAATCATCCAAAAATCTGGAGTTGATTTCATATTCTTCCCCTCTCTTTAGGTAGGTGCGACACCGCTCAAGGATCCGTTCCGGGGCTCCTTTCATCACCATCAGCAAGAAATCATCCTTTGGGTCGCTAGTTTTGTGGATAGAGACCTATTGAAGCATACAAAGGAGAAAGTGACAAAAACTGCGTACACAAAAAGTTGAAAAAGTCAAGAATAGAGACGCGAAGGCCATAGACCTCTATGAAGCTTGGTTTTCATTGTAATGCCCATTGGACAACCCTAGGCTCTCTCTCCCTAGGGGGCAGCGTGGTCTCGAGGTATGGTGTCCCCTCGAGTGCTAGAGGTCTCAGGTTTAAGCTCCAGTGGAGGCTGTGATTTTTTCTGTTCACGTGGGCTTCTAGTAATTTTCCCTGATTGCTGGGTAGTGAGATCAGAATACGGTGTGTATTCTTGCGCACACACAAAAATCCCTTGGCAGTTGGAAATCGAAAAGAGTAGCCTAAAGGGGATGCCCGGGAAAAATTTGGAGTTAAAATTCTACAAAATTCAGGATCCTCGTCGGTGCTACAGAGCATGTGCATTGAGCTGAGCTACTTGGGACTCAGACTTGAGTTAGAAGTAGAACGGCGAACATGGGTTACTACTCATGTGCCATGTTGTTGATCCGTCGTTCAAACCTCAAACCTCTCTCTCTCTCTCTCTCCTCTCTCTCTCTCTCTCTCTCTCTCTCTTCTCTCTCTCGTCTCTCTGCTCTCTCATCTCTCGTCTCTCTCTCTCTCTATCTCTCTACTCGTCCACTCCGTATCTCTCTCTCTCTCTCTCTACTGTGTGTAGACAACATGCCTGTAGCGCATATTTTGTATTCTGTGAAGCCTGTCCTCTTGGTCAAAGTTCTGAGCCCCTCTATCCTCAACTTGAATTTCTTGTACGTTTGGCTGCAGAGTCTGCTGTGTCCTGTACATAATCTAAGTTTGTTTCTTTGTTTTAGTATCCAGGAGCCATAAGTTGTTAACCCTAAGGCTCGGTATTGTGGATATCGCAACCTTTCGGCCTTGATTCCATTGTAAATACCGTAAATCTGGGAGATATGTGGCTTCTCTGGCTACCCTCGGGAGTGAACCCGGACCACAAGGAGTTCGTCACCCACTCACCGCGCAATCTGGTTTAGCCAACTACGCTAGAGAGACGGGTGTACATAATCTAACTATAATGGTCTGTTTCTTTAGTGGGGGGGGGGGGGGGATTTGAATCTTCATGATTATTTCCTGGATCGGAGGTATTCTAATGGGTTGTTTTTGGAGGGTGAGCAGCGAAAGCGAAATTCATAATCTGTTTACATAACTACTAATTACTGGCTTATGAGGGTCAGTAGACTGTAGTGGTTGGGGCATAGAGAGCTGATAGATAACAGAGAGGCGACAACTGTGTGCCCACAGGAGTTGAATAGGGGTAGACCCGGAGGCAGACAAAGAAGATAATATACAGGCTGATCTATCATCACTTGGACTCACTAAACGAAAAGAGAAGACCTGTTACATAGAGATGAATGGAGTTTTCCGGTACACGTGTCATTTCCCTTGTCACACATTACCGACGCCGCCGCCCCCGTGCTGGACTCGGATTGAAAAAAAAATGAATGGAGGCGAGTGATACCTGCAACAATCAACTTCCTAAGCTGGAAAGGGTGAAAAAATAAGGTGAAGAAAAAAAAAGATATGTTTAAGCAGCTATATTCATTTTAATTTAGCTTTACAAGGATAACAGCCGAAACGTTTATTTAAAAAAAAAACATTCATTAACTGATACCTGCGCAGAACTGAAGGAGTTAAATTGTATGCTAAAATCACTCATGTAGAGCTTTGGCAGAGAATTAAACACATTTCAATGAGTCGAGAGGCGAGGTAAAAACGCTGGTATTGATATGACATGCTTAAGGAAAGCCCGACAACAATATAGTTAGAATGTCCTTGCATTAGCATTCACAGAGTCAAAAAAATAAAGGCAATCTTCAGATCGTAGCCGCTTGGCTAAACAATAGTAACAACAAGAGGAAACAATGGTATTACAGCATCACTAGTAGTAGCAGTAGCAGCAGCAGAAGTAGTAGTAGTAATCGTAGTAGTAGTATTTGTAGTAGTAGTAGTAGCATCACTAGTAGTAGTACTAAAAGTCGTAGAAGTAATAGTAGTAGTAGTAGTACTAGTAGTAGTAGTAGTAGTAGTAGTAGTAGTAGTAGTAGTAGTAGTAGTAGTAGTAGTAGTAGTAGTAGTAAGTAGTAGTAGTAGAAGTAGTAGTAGTAGTAATAGTAGTAGTAGTAGTATTAGTAGTAGTAGTAGTACTATTAGTAGTAGTAGTAGTAGATGTAGTAGTAGTAAGTAGTATATAGTAGTAGTAGTCGTAGAGTAGTAGTAGTAGTAGTAGTAATTGCAGCAGTGGCAGTAGTAGTAGCAGCAGCAGTAGTAGTAGTAGTAGTAGTAGTAGTAGTAGTAGTAGTAGTAGTAGTAGTAGTAGTAATTGCAGCAGTAGTAGTTTTTGTTATCGTTGTTGTTATTTTGTTGGTGTTGTTATTGCTGGTGCTGTAGAGAAAGTAGTACCTGGTATTTATTCGCAGAATTAAAGGGAATCTCCACGAGTTTTGGGTTTTCTTTCTGCAGCGCACTGATATTTCCCACCGTGGTTTCTGCGCACTTCAACAAGGCAACCTCCGAGGCATCCCCGTTACACTCTCTGAAAGAGACGAACACAACAACGTCTGCTCGACTATCGTTTCTCTCCAGGTATACCACTTTTCAAGGGTCGTATAGGACAGAGGGAGAGACCCCTGGGTGTTTTGCTTGAACGAGCGAACATGTTAGCTATTACCCGCGTTTCATAGGTCTCATCTGTGTAGATCAGGGATTTTTTTAAACTTTTTTTTTTTAGATAAATACATAACAATACCACTCCCTCACTCACCTTTTTTTTTTCAAACCTACCTACCCTAGATGATGTCACAGGATAGTTCAACATTTTTGAGGGCGGTAAGACTGGGTTTCCCGGCTTTCTGATGCTTTTAACAACCCCAAAACATCTAGAACTGACCATAACCCCAACCCACCTACGTCCCACGAGAGAGCGCAGCCTAGGTCCCACGACTGAATGTAGCCTAGGTCCCACGACTTCATGCAGCCTATCTACCACCCCCCGTAATTGTTGACTGTCCTGTGACCTGTGGATTTTCCCTGTTTGGGGTAGGATATTAAGAAAGCACCAAAATGTGATTAAAAGAGGACATAAAGACAAATCCCAAGTGCTATAAAACAAGAAAGTGGAGAGAAACTTTCACATTAATCAAAGAGTCAAACAACAAACGTCACTGGCTTTTTTGCTTTATATAAACGGACAACAAGCAACAAGACATTTTAGTCAGTTCATGTGTGTGTATGTTTTGTTTTGTTTCTCGGTTCTGCTGATGAAGGCTAATGATCGCAACTACCTCTGTCTGTTTGTTATAATTGTGAAACTGACACATACTTTTCTTGTGTGTTTGTTTGTTTGTTTGTTTGGGTAACAATTTTCAGTCTTTATTTTCTTTCCTATCTTTTTAGTTGAGTGTGAAAGTGCATGAGGCGGGAGAATTGGCGAGAGACCGAATTTTTTTCAGGCAGACCGTGATGAGGGCGACGTTCTGCAAAGGACCTGCTACATGATGATGATGATGATCTTTTGCAATCTTTTACAAATCTTGTTTAGATCTCTTTGTGATGAAAGAAAACAGCGGAGGAAACGTCAGTAGACAGACAGACTAATAAATTTAGGGAGGAGGGACATACAGACCAATAGATGTAGGGAGGAGGGACATACAGACTAATAGACGTAGAGAGGAGGGACATACAGACTAATAGATGTAGAGAGGAGGGACATGCAGACTAATAGACGTAGGGAGGAGGGACATACAGACTAATAGACGTAGGGAGGAGCGACAGACAGACAGCCAGCAGGGTAGGTAGTCATAGTGGAGAGAAAGAAGAAAACAGACAGAGACAGTTAGGGACTAAGCTGAGGATCAGACAGATAGACAGACCTGAGAACGGGAAGCTAAACAGACAGACAAATTGATGAAAGGGAGTTACAGTGGGAATGGACAAACATTCAGACAGAAGAATGGACGAACAGACCGGTGCCGGAAGCATGTGTATGCTATGGACATATGGACAGACAGACGAACGAAGACAGTCATGAAAGACGGACGTCCGGGACAGACAGACAAATATCCAGGCAAATGGACGGAAATCAGTCAGAATGACATGCTGTTAATGGGCTATCAAACCTCGATCGAAAGAAAACATGCAAAGATATTCCAGTGTGGTTTTTGCAGTCTGTCGATGCTTCAGACAAACCACACTATCTAATGTTATCTGAGCTGCGAGGAGAATTGGCTGATAAACAGCATCCTGCCCCGAAAGCCCAGTTATTGTGGACACGTTAAACGTCATAGTGGCCTGGAGTGAGTAGTGATGGAGCGTTCAGTTTCCGGGACTCTTGCAACTGGTCATATTTGTAGATAGATTCACAATTCACTTGGTTCTCGCAAACGACTCACTTCTCGTAGGGCATTGACTATGTCTAATTCATAGCGTGTCAGCTCTCTAAGGTAGCCTTAACTGCCATACTGTCAGCTTGCTCGTTTCACTGCTCGCCTGTGTGTCCTTGCATGAACACCAAACATGGTTAAAGTAACGTTTATTCTCCCCAAAATAGAGTAGGTCACTTTTCATTCACAAGTTTGTTGGGCTGGTCGACTTTCCTGAAGGTAACGGGTGCTTCCCGCTCTGTTTGTGTTGTTGTTGTTGTTGTTGTTGTTGCTGCTGCTTTCTGCGTTTTCTTGCATTTACGTTTTCATTCCGAGAAAGAGAATGCATGTGACATAGGTTGCAGCACTCTCTAGAGGGGCTGTGATAGGGTCAGTTTCTCCGTGTTTGTTGGAGTCTTATAAGCGCTGGCATGCTGAAATATACAACACCGATATAACGGTATTGCGGAACCCTCCCGTAACCTTATGCCAAGGTGACAGGTTCTGGAACTACTAATCAGAAGTGAGCTGGTGTGTAAATGGGTGGGGCGTTGGGACACTAACGTTACGTATACCTAAAACATTTTGTGAGCCCCCACCCCCTCAGAGACACCTAACAATGACTGCGTGCCCATCCCATCTCTTATCTTCAGACATCACAATAGCCTTTGGAGTGAGGAGAGGGGGGTGAACGCAGGTGAAGGGACCTAATCCTAGTTTGTGAGCATAATAACAATGATAATACAAGTTCCCGTGAGGTTTCCGTGGCTCTAGTGTAGGGTGGCCTGGGGAAGTAGATCCACTGGTCCCCTTCCCCAACCCACAAGCATGTTGTAGGAGTCGACTAATTCTGGGTTTTCCTTAAAGGAGTCCATCTGACTAATAGACAAGACACCCATATAAATACGCTAGATCTGAAAAAGGGATACATAATAATCAAGGACTTGGAACAGAAGCGGATGAACAACTAGTTCCCCCCCCCCCCCTTTTCCTTTTCCAGATTCTCAGACATCCCATTTCGCAGGTATTAATTTGACGTAGGTTAGCCTTAGAGAATGACTAACTTGTTGGTATGGATTTGATGTTTATAATCTTTTTCTTGGCGCTCCTACTTATGTTTGGATGTCTTAATAAAGTTGTCAGTTGGAACATAAGTACACTCTGCGTAACACAGGGTGTTAATCGCTCAGTGTGAGGTCCCAATGGGGTTCAGTTGCATTCAGTAACTTCTACCTGATTGGTCCTCGGTCGTGTCTGCTTCGTATATCTCGTTGTTGAACCACATGTGTGCCACAGTCATCCTGTTCTGGGTGAGCGTGCCTGTCTTGTCTGAGCAGATGGTGGACGTTGAACCCAGAGTCTCCACGGCTTCCAGGTTCTTCACCAGGCAGTTCTTCTTGGCCATACGTTTAGCGGTCAAGGTTAAACACACCTGGAAATCGATATTATTATTTGCAACTATTTGCACTGGAATGTTCAATGTTGAATTAAGAATCGACGTCACAGCACTCGGGACACTCCCATAAGTACTCATTTCCCATCTTCAGCAGTAAGCGAAAAGTTCCAGTTTATAGACAAATAATGAGAATGCCCTGGACAGATAAAACGAATAATGAAGACGTCTTGAAAGAAACTGGCTCGCAAAGAGAACTGACTGCCAACATCAGAGGGAGACAATCTACATTCTTTGGTCATGTGATGAGAAGCAGACAACTGGCGTACATCGTGACAGTAGGAAAGTTGGAGGGGAGGAGAGGCAGAGGGAGACCAAGAGAACAGATACTGGACAGTATGACATCATGGCATGGAGGATCATCTGTGTCAGAGTTGAATTAAAGTACAAGAGACAGAAGGATATGGATAGACATGACTACCAACGCAACAAATAAGAATAAGGCAATTGTTTCATATTTTTTTTTAAACAATAGATAGCGATGGATATCCTGTGTGGTTTACACTGGCACAGAAACGGAGAGTATTGTCGGGATCTTTTTTCCGGTTATGTTAGTGTGTTGGGAAATTTAACAGGAGGACAGACTGGTTGGCTCTGCACAACTTGTTTACATCATCATCATAAACCACTTCTGCCGTTAAGCGAAGTGGGGGGAGGTATAGTTTGCGATCCAGTGCACTTTGGCTGAAACTGGCTATTGTCATGCCATGGAGGCTTAGAGTGTCTTTAATGTTGTCGATCCCTATTTTTCGCGAATGTCCTTTTGCTCTTGTAGCTGATCTTCTGAGATGTAGTGTTGTGATGGTCTTTGATCTTGCTGCATTCTAACGAGATGGCCAAAGAACTTGATCCGCTGTTTCTCGATGAATCAAGTACAAGGTGTTGTTCCCACCGTTTGTCTGATAGTGTCATTATTCACTCGATCTCGGATGGTTAGGTTGGCTGCTTTTCTCAGGCATCTCATCTTGTAGGTGGGGATTTTGTGTATATGGGCTTTAAATAGTGTCCATGTTTGGCACTGGAATCGTTTACCTTTTAGCATTTAGTCGTGCAAACATCTTGCAAACTGTTTTGGCATGGTTTGTCAGAAACAAACGAGGCTAATCCGAAGACAGAAAGAGAGAGAGAGAGAGAGAGAGAGAGAGAGAGAGAGAGAGAGAGAGAGAGAGAGAGAGAGAGAGAGAGAGAGAAAGACCCACACCCACACACACCCACACCCACCCACACACACACCCACGCCTACATACACACATCCACACACAAACATAGGTAGATACATTTGCCTGCACACCGTGACAGTTGCCAGAAGTCCTTCCGGTACATTGGCCACAATGATCCCAATAAAAAACACGATAGCTTTGATCCAAGTGTATCCCAGAGCAAACGCGACCACGCCAAAAGACACGCCCAGAAATACGGCCACACCTGAAAATATCACCACAGAAATGTTTACTTGCATACCGTATCTGTCACGCGAAGCTTACCTGCTGAAAAAAGTAGTATTGCATTGTCATTCATAAAGTGTGTGCACAATTAGGGCCTTGTTTTTCCCCCACTGTGGCCAGGCGTGATAATTTCATATGTGTAAGCGGTTTAAAACAAATTAGGGCGTTAGCAGGTAATGATTATAACGGTTAGGGAAATCACGTGATATTTTCTAATCGTCACTTTGCTGTTAAGAGTATGCGTACGCCGCTAAATGTTGAAATAAGAATCGACATCGTAGCACTCGGGACACTCGCATAAACGCTCCATCTTAATCCTCAGCAGCAAGCGAAGAGTTCCAGTTCGATGGTACCAGTAACTGTCTTATTCTACATCCGTCTCACCTTTCCCTTGAGTGTTGAGCGTCGGCCAGATCCCCTAGTAAATCCCTGCAGCGCCATTCTCCTCAGACCGTAATGATCTATTTGTGCCTCCGCACTGTTCACTCGCTCCAAAAGGGCCCTCACTACATCTAGCTTGACATACATCAATTAACCAAGTGGTGCAGAACCGGCCATTCTATCTGCCTGCTCTTTTCCCAACAAACAGGCACATCTGGAGAAAATATCCAAAGGACGCTAACTACCCTAGCAGCTAGCATTGTAATATTAGTAGTTCTTAGTCAGATCTGTCAAACGGATGCACACGCAACACTCAGGTTCTGGAACAGGACAGCAGTCCAGAAGTGGATGAACAACCAGAACTTTCCGCCAGCGTTTACAGCTTGTGAACACGAAGAAGAAGAAAACATTTAATACGTCTTCAATATCTTGTATCCACCTTTGCGAATATCGGTATCTGACTCGTTTCCTAGAAACTGTTCCCCTTAGGTCACTATCACGTTTAGCATGGCCACAATTCCTCAGCTGTCACGACAGGATGCTGTTTATGAGCCAATTCTCCTCCATGTCTAAATGGTGTAGGATGTTCATACCATTGTCGAATCAACACAAAGCGGTCTGCTGTCAAACTACCTGCTGCTGAATAAAACCAGGTTTGCAAATTTATGAAAATGTGTTTATAACCCCTAGGCAATAGATTCCAGCTGTGGCTCATTAGCCACACTTTCATTTGATGAGGCCACACATGAAATGCTCAGTCCCTTACACATTATACAGATTACGGGACGCTTAACACATGAATGTGCCTTTTTTAAGAACTTAATAATAATGATGATAATGTGTCTAATAGAAATAAATATTTAATATATATTTTTAATAATGTGATAGTTGTAAACAAACAATACATAAAGAGAGACCTTATAAAGCCGATTTGTGAACTAAATATACGTCTAGCCCTATATGCCCTATGCATCCGATGACGTGGAAAGGGGTCCTTAACTTTACTTTGTTCGTATTTGAGGTGTTGTATAATTTTGTAACTTACTGATGAAGGCACTATATCCGCAATGTTCACTTGTCGTTTGCGATAACATAAAGCTAATAAGTTTTTTTTTTAATCTTTACATGGCAATTTATTTTTTTAAATCTGCCTTACCGGTTATCAAATGAATGAAATGAGAAATCTCTTTGGCGATTGGCGTCTCGCCCGCCTCCAGGCCCGAGGCCAACCCGGCAATTCGACCCATGACGGAATTGTCTCCTGTCAGTATCACCACACCCGTTGCCGTACCTGGCAATGACATGTACAACATCAGCTAAAGTGGCGTGTGTGTCACATTTTGACATTTTCAACATCTGTTAAGGCAGACACTGTGTCACATTTTGACATTTTCAACATCTGTTGAGGCAGACACAGTGTCACATTTTGACATTTTCAACATGTGTTAAGGCAAACACTGTGTCACATTTTGACATTTTCAACGTCTGTTAAGGCAGACCCGGTGTCCAATTTTGACATTTCCAACATTTGCTATCTTGCAGAGAGTATCAAAATGTAACATTTTTAACATCAGCTATGTCAGTGTGAGTGTCAAAATGGAATAATTTCAACATTAGCTGTATCAGTCACATTGTCAAAATTTGATATGAAACAACGTTTTCTTTGTCAGTGACAGTGTCAAAATGTCACATTTTCAACATTTGCTGTGTCATTGACAGTGTCAAAAAGTGATAATTTTAACATTTGCTGTGTCATTGACAGTGTCAAAATGTGATAATTTCAACATTTGCTGTGTCATTGACAGTGTCAAATTGTGATAATTTCAACATTTGCTGTGTCATTGATAGTGTTAAAATGTGATAATTTCAACATTAGCTGTATCAGTCATATTGTCAAGATTTGATATAAAACAAGATTTTCTTTGTCATTGACAGTGTCAAAATGTGACATTTTCAACATTTGCTGTGTTATTGACAGTGTCAAAATGTGACATTTTCAACATTTGCTGTGTCATTGACAGTGTCAAAATGTCACATTTTCAACATCTGCTGTGTCAGTGACAGTGTCAAAATGTCACATTTTCAACATTTGCTGTGTCATTGACAGTGTCAAAATGTCACATTTTCAACATCTGCTGTGTCAGTGACAGTGTCAAAATGTCACATTTTCAACACCTGCTGTGTCAGTGACAGTGTCAAAATGTCACATTTTCAACATCTGCTGTGTCAGTGACAGTGTCAAAATGTCACATTTTCAACATCTGCTGTGTCAGTGACAGTGTCAAAATGTGACATTTTCAACATTTGCTGTGTCATTGACAGTGTCAAAATGTCACATTTTCAACATCTGCTGTGTCAGTGACAGGTCAAAATGTGACATTTTCAACATCTGCTGTGTCAGTGACAGTGTCAAAATGTGACATTTTCAACATCTGCTGTGTCAGTGACAGTGTCAAAATGTCACATTTTCAACATCTGCTGTGTCAGTGACAGTGTCAAAATGTGACATTTTCAACATCTGCTGTGTCAGTGACAGTGTCAAAATGTGACATTTTCAACATTTTCTATGTCAGGGATAGTGCC